ATCATTGCATTGATGAAATTGCTAAAAATGTAACATTAAGTTCTATGCTAAAAGTTTCTTCTCCCACACTTTTCTCTTCCTGTTTCTTGCTATTCTGTCAACTATGTCTTTTAGAATCCTTGTCTTTTAATGTCCTCTCTCTCAACATTTTCTCAGTTTCTTTTATTTGAGTCTTAGTGGCTTTATCACCTTGGTTGTAGTGAAATGATTCATTAAAAAAAAAAAAAAAAACACACACACACACCCTTCTTTATGTCAGTGTGCACGTGTAAAATCTAGGTTGCCAAAAGTTACGAAAGTTTAAAAGACTTTCAGGATTAACAAAAAAAAAATAAAAAAAAAATAAAAAAAATAATAATTCTTCACTCCTTTCATAAAGAATAAATTAGATTAAAAGATATAAGATAAAAAAAAAAAATTTTAAGTTTTTTTTGTTTGTCTGTGTTAAATTCTCAAAATAAATTCATAAGAAAATTATATTTAAAAAATAAAATATTAATAATCACACTATATAGAAAGTAGTTTCCTTTTAATGAACATGTTCACTTAATTAAAACAACACAATTGAATAATCTCTTTACAATAAAAGTTTATTATAAACTTCCTAAAAGTGTAACCAGTATATGAATTTTAAAACCATTAAAATGTTTTAAGTCTAATCTCTGATGTTTCCCCCCATACACACACCCCTCCATTAATTTTTCTCCTGGGTAACACTGCAAAATAACAAATGTAGAAAAGGAATGCTGTAATAACTGGTTTATTTATTTGTATATCAAAAAACAGGTGGGCGAGTTGGGCTGTTGCTTTTGAAAGATTGCTTATTTGGCAATAACAATGCCGGATCAAGTTCAGACTTCATAGCTACTATTGATGATCTGAAGGAAGATTTTTTTTTTTTTATAATAACCATGATACTCAATTTTAGTAATATGCTTGTGTAAAAAAAAAAAATCTACAAAAAATAATAATCTAATTTAAACTTAAAACTTTTCATTGTAAAGTTTAAAATTAATACTAATGCTCCTGATCTTAGATATTTTTTAAAAGTAACAGGCAGATTTTTGTCAATTCATATATGTACTTCTAAAATCTACAAACAATTTACATCATCTTTAATGAAAGCAAAAATATAAATTCACTAAAAATTTCTTCTCTTGTCTACTTAATCATAAGAGAATCATACTTCTGGCCAGTGTATTCTACATGAAGACTGACCACACAAAATATATGCTCTGAAAATAATCAAACCTCAGTGAAACAAAAAAAGACTAAAATGGAAACATACAGTCAGCTGATTAAAAAACTCGGATATAATTGCACTTCTTCAATACCCAACATAGTTATTCGAAAGTTATTAGTAGCCTTCACAATCATTGTGTAGTCATAATTTATGTTTAATAAGTGTTTAAGGACAAGCTTGACGGATTAACGTTAACATTTAAACAACGTTTGCCAAGACAATAATATGCAAAGCAAAACAATTTTTTTGCCATTTCAGATTTCAATAAAAATAAAATGGAAATTTAAATATGCTCAAAATCAAAAGATATTTCAGAAACAGCCACATGGTCATGTGATATGTAAATACTCACTGGACTATGCAACGAAAACGAAAGCCAAATGGTAATATTTGTATTTAAATTACACTACAGAAATATAAAAATAAAAATTTGAGGAATTTTTTTTTTTTAAATAAGCCTTATCCAAGAATTTTCATGTGATTATTAAGATAAAAATTTTATTCAAAGTAACATGTACCTGGACAAAAATCATTTCAAAAATATTTGCTAAGAAGTCTTATTGTTTGATTGACTTCTTACGACCTTCCTTAAACTGGGTTAGAGATCACTTTTTCAAGTCAGCAAAAAATGTAAATAAGTAAATTTAAATAAAGACAAACAAAAAATAAAATCTGCATCAGTTTTGTTGACTTTTGGTCTAAGATAAATTTCAATAGTCACTACGAGTCAAGTGTCACTGTGCAATTCTCAAGAATATTGACAAAGCAAAAAAAAAAAAAAAAGACAAAAGTTTTTGAAATAGTTCAGTTTCAACACAAGCCTTATGATGACAAAATTATAAAAAGAAAAAACAAATATTCTCACACGAGTAATAACCAAATTAAGATGGATTTTAATAATTATTATTATAAAGAAAGAGGCAGATCAGTAAAAAAAAATGTTATAGAAACGAGAGTAGATAACAAAAAAAGAAAATATTTCACAATGGAGAAACGGCTGATGGTTATTGCTTTCATGAATGATAATTTGAGGAATTAATTACTATGCTTGATTAGATTATAAAAAAAAAAATACTACAAATTATTAACAAATAACATTATTGACCTTATTCACCCAAAACAATTGGATTCCCTACAGAAAAAAAGAAAACAACGTGGGATAAAAAAGTAAAACTTGATTTTTATGTCTATTTCAAATCTTTATTTAGATTTTTTTTAGCATTAATTTTTCAAGAATATCTTAAATTATCATCATCTTTGGATTTAGTTGGAAACAGTAAGGAACCTTCAAATTGATTTTATTTTTAAATGACAATTTGTAAAATAAAATAAAGGAGTTTAAAAATGATCTCGTGTTTAAATTTGGTTTGTTTAGAAACACATACGTGGCTAAACTCATCATAAAATTATTATTTTCATATTTTATAAAAGATCTAGGTAACGCCCCCAATTACCGACATTATATCTCAATTTGCTTCTCCAAGATATTTTAGACTTTTTAACGATTGTTTATCAACTGTCAACATTTATGAACATATGCATATTGATTATTATGGGTTGAGCATACGGGGCCAGGACATGATAACTTTTGAAAAGCAGTAAATAAAACGTAAAAATTATTACATGTCATTAACAAGAATGAGTAGTAACTGGCCCAGTTGGGTAAAAAAAAAAGAAAAGCGCAATCAAAAAGACGACGTAGTTGTCAAGTCTTAAACAGGATTTTAAAAAAAAATCTCAATTGTTTTTTAGCTTAAAAATATTACGTAAATATTTAAAACGATATTGTTAGTTATTTAAGATAAGAAGATCATTACACAGGGGGAAATATCACTGCTTCAAATAATTAAAACTTCTACTGATGACGATTCATGGATAATATTATTTAAAAAGAAAATTTTAAATACATTTCCGATATGAATTATGTTTCTGTTGAAATTTTAAATCAATAAATTTATTGTAAGTACTTGTCAAATAAATTATAGTTGCATTTAAGTAGCAAAGGCTCAAATTCGTACCTAAGATTTTAAAGATGCAAAAAAAAAACTATTTAGAAGAAAAACATTTAATGTCAAGTTTTGAAATAAACACAAAAATTATTTCGCGTCAAGAAAATAGTTTTGTCAAAGAAAACAAAAAAAAAAAAGATTTTTTAAAGATTACATAAAAATAATGAATCACCATGACACTAGAGTTTTATTTTATTTTTAATATATATTTATTAAATTTGTGTGGTTATAAAATCGGGGTGTAGTCTGTTTATTAATCACATACTTAAAATGATCCCCGATTTTACAAGCCAACTACAATGTGGTACGTCATTACAAAATATAGAAACCAAATGTTTAATCATAATTGTATTTTTTTTTTAATAAAATGAAAACTTAATGATTGAAATAACCAAATAGTCCAATATATATTTTTTTCAAAATTTTTATTTTGAGATTTACAATTTGTAACCGAAAAAAAAAAAAAAAAATTTTTAACCAACAACAACCGGGTCTACATATAATTAAAATAATAAGTATTAACATTGGTGGTGGGTGTTGCAAACAGTTGCGACGAGTTTATATAATGGCATGAGTTTTTTTTTTTTTTTCCAATTTAGATTGGATATTGATGAGGAATCAATACAAAATTATTGACAAACTTATAAAGTGTTCCCCGATTTCATGACCACTCCCAAAGAGAACATTTGATCTCTTTTTATATACAAAAACCACTGATCCATATCTGGAATAATTGTCACTGAACAAACATCGACAATTTTTGAGTTACAACAAAACGAAAAGGAAGAGTTTGTTGGCAAAGTCGAATGATTTTTATTTTAAGAAGAGTAAAAACTAAGAACAGTTATTTATTTTATTACAAATAAGAATGATCACTTCGTAATGCTAGAGCATCATTATGATCAACTGTAAAAATATTTTTTTTATATCTACATTGGAAACAGAAAGCATATATAAATTAAACTGATCTTTTAAAAATAATATACAATTTTTCACATTTTGTTAGATCGATTTTGGCAATTTATTACTTTTGTCGAACTTGACACTTTTTAAACAGAATAACAAACATCGTATCATTTTCGTGAATTTAAAATTTTAAATGTTATTGTTATTCTTAAAAAAAATTAGCCCTTTCGAAATTATTATAAACATTTCAAATAATTTTTCATTCTTTCACTTTTTAAAAATGTTAATCAATAACTTTAGCATAAATTGTGTAAGTGTAAGAAGAGTTAGAGAAAGTTTTTAAAAATCTCAATATTTTAAAGGGCGGGGGGCATGTGTTGGGTCATGTGACCGGTTATCGTAAGTATCCCTTGGAAAGACTGTCTTTTTTTTTTTTTTTTTCTTTACAACTTTCCGATAGATTTTATTTTTTAGGTTTCTCTTGCGCTATTTCTGATGCACTGGAAATTATAACTATTTTTAAAATTATGTGATCTTTACAAAGATAAATTAGAAACATCAAATGTTGCTTCTAAAAAGCGGAATTCTGGTGAAACGATCTTTGAACGGCAATATTTTTGTAAGCTTCCGGTGGGAGGAAGTGTACATAATTATTTATTGTTATATTTTATATTATCTTTATTTTTCTTTTTAATCTAAGGAAGAAACTTTTTAAAAGACATTTATGTTGTCAATGAGTTGTTTGTAAAACTCAGAACTGAAAATCTAACAACACGGAAGGAAACAGCGTATTTGCATTCTTATTTTCGCAAATATTAAAGGAAAAAATATAAAGTACTAACCTGCCAACGAAGTTTTCGAGCACACTACTCTTGCCAGCACTCTGGCTTCCGACGACAGCGATCTGAGGCAGATCCAAAGATATAGGCACGCCAAGAGTGGCGAAAGCATCTTGCAACTTATTCACTATGGGAATAAGTTGTTCCATTCCCATGTTGCCGGCCATTTTCGTGTGTTGGTCGGTGAATTAAATGAAACAAAAACAACCTCGACCACCTTCCTTTCTTTTTTTTTTGTGCTTTGTTTCGTTTTTCTTTTTTAACTACTTTTTCTCCTTTAGCTTTTTTTTCTTTTTCACTTGAAATTAGTAATAACAATAAGAAGGTGGGGGGGCAAACGATAGATATTTATATATAGAGAGAGAAAAAAACAACAAGACAACTGACTTTGGTCAGTTCATCATCATGGCGGAATTTAGTTGTTGTTGTTATGGTTAATGATGTAGGAGGAAGGGGAGGAGGTACCTTTTCTATAAAATATCTCCTCTAACCGCTCCTCTTTCACGGCTCTTATGTCGATGGTGATGATGTTGATGTTTAGATTCGCACCCGCTAACACACTGTTGAGAATCGTGTGAGGAAGGATACAGCATGACGATAGAGGTAGTAGATAGAGGTATGACATATGATAAGGTAGGAGGAGAGTGGAGAAAAAGAAACCAGAAAATATATATAAAAGAGAGGAAGAACTGTCAAATAGTGTTTAAAGGGAGGGTGTCAATGTCAACGTTTGCGCTTATATTTACACTCACTGCATACATACATAGACATACAATTACATATGTATCTATACTTAGGTAAATTTTTGTGATTTCACGGATTTAGTGACTCATACGATCCTTCATGCTTTATGTGAATATTTTATTTTGACAAATGTAAGTGAATAATGTGAGTCTCACTGTTAGTGTTAAGTGTCAATAACGAGTTATAAGAAGATTTATTTTATTAGTTAAAAAATAAAATTTTAATTTAAAATTAACGCGATAGTTTTTCTTTTTAGAACTGTAGTGTATATTTTAATTTATGTTTTTCATTTAGTGTTTGTTTGAACACACAAAAAAATAAAACTGGAACTTCAAAATGCCACGACAGGCACCCAACAGATAGATAATAACAGACTTAGACTTCTCTTCTCAGATAATTAATTAAACAGATCAAAGAATTTTTTCCTTAAAGCACTTATGCGACCAAGACTAAGTAAGTGCACGCATCGGCATTATACACATACACAGACGTATATACAGTAACGGTATACTGACATACTCAAAAAATTACTGTATACTGTGCATCCATGTGTACGTAAAGTAAAAAAACAAGCACTTGAGTTTCATACATTAGCAACCTGTGCGTTATACAGAGTTTTCTGTTTCAACGGGACTTGCACCACGGTGTGTTGTAAATTATATGTAAACGGTAACGATTTCATTTGAAAGAGGCGTAATGGAAGGAGTCTATATAAGTAATAATGTTCGACCACTCTGTCGAGTAGAGACGAAGGATAGGTTTTATATAGAAAGTGAGTGTCAATATAGAATTATATTAGAGAGTGAGTCAGGGCCACGAGACATCAAGTACCTCTCATCTATTTGTTATATACCTCTCTACCTATCCATCTTTGGATACGGTGTCTGCATGTCGTCACCGACAGGGAAAAGTCTACCTGCTTTATTTCCAGGTAGCAACCACTCATCTAGAAAATAAAGAAAAACAACTGTTTTTTTAATTTATTTATATTTTGGACAAAAATATAAATATTTTTTTTAAATGGTGGTTTTTTAAGTCAACGCAACCTTTCATGTTACGTGTGTGTTTTTCTATGCTATAGAGAGGCAAAACAAGCTTAAATAGATAGAGAGACAGGGAGAAATGAGTAAGATAGCTAGATATGAACAGAGTGAGAAAGTTTTACAACTCGCAGATTTGATGAGTGTCACTTTCCATGAAGAATGAACCGACTGGCCATTAAAATCAGCTGACAGTTCACCTGCACTCGAACCCCATCTAAAAGCATGATGAGGTAGTTGAGGAGTTCACTACAGTTTCAAATCATAAGCTAGTACAAATGAAAGATAATGTGGATATTTCAGATTTTGCAAGAACAATGCAAAAAATGTACTGACTGCTAACGAGAAGGGGGAAGCACGTTTTACATTAATCTGCACAATGCCAGATTTACCATTTTGCTTAGGTGTGCTTAAGCACAGGGCCCCGTTGGCCTGGGGGGAGGAGCGTTGGCCGGGAAGGGGCGTTGGCCTGGAAAGGCATCTTCCTTCCATGTCTACCCCCTTCAGGGCCCAAGTAAGGGGCCTCATAACTAAACTAGCACAGGGCCTCATTTGACTTTTCTGGATTCATGCATTGACTCACAAAACTGATAGTGTCTCAGGCATCAAGCAAGATAAATATGATCAGACTGAAATTTATAGATAGATAGATAGATAGATAGATAGATAGATAGATAGATAGATAGATACCAGACTTTTTACATATTTATGTGTCACACATCCTGATCCCCCATATTGGTTAATGAGCTATCCCACTGGTATGATAGCAGGAGGCATTACTTGATAATAATTAGTGAACATGCTTTATCTTATCACACCAACAAAATATCTCAATAGAGGTGATCAGCCTGCTAATATATCCCTTTTTATTTTGTTCTATATTTGCTTTATTTGCTTATTTATACTTCCAACGATTTTAAAAAAGGAAAATTCTTTAATGCATGTGGCAATAGAGTTAATTGTATAGATAAAAATCCTCGATTACTGATACAGAAAATATAACCAAAGCAATTACAAAATTACTTAAACATAGCTGTCATTTTTGTTTTTGTTTTTTGTTATTTTTGTACTATGATATTTTTTCTTTTATATGCCATGTCCTTTCATGATTCTTTACAACTTCTTGTTTTTGTTGATCTAACTAAATTTTGTCCCTATGAGTGCTAAATTCTCTAGGCCCTCTCTCCTCATTATGTGTCCTGCTTCCAGCCACATCATGTTTAAACAATTCTTCCTGTATAATCACTGAAGTTAAGCAATGTTAAGCCTGGTCAGTACCTAGATGGGTGACTGCTTGGTATAATGGACCAGAATTGTTAATCAGGGAGCCGAGTTCATTATATTCACTTATATGCTTATACCCTTCATTTACCCCGTCGATCAACCAGGGACGGCATAACTTCGGTCTTCGAGGCATTGATGGTTATACCCACATCCCGTACTGCAGCTTGCACACGGTTGAGCACAGCTTGCACATCGTCACGGTTCGGTCCGACCAAGACAATTTCGTCCGCGTAGGCCAGATCAGACATCCTGACATTCCGACCAACCGCAACTCCAGCGTAGTCCCAAACAGCCGAGGATGTAGTCGATTGTATAGTTGAATAGGGTAGGGGATAGGGCACACCCTTGCTGCACACCAGTCTTCGCCTCAAACGTCTCCGACTCCTCACCATAAGCACGAACACGGGCTCGCGTCGACCGGTAGTAGTTATTGATGAGACGAAGGAGTTTAGGTCAATCTGGAGGACGTGCAGTCTTTCGTCTATCTCGGTTCAACCATTATACCATCCGGGCAGGCTGCTGCTGAGCTTGAACGCCGTATAGATCCGCTGGGGGGGGGGGCGACGGGTGATTTCCACGGCTACGAAGGGGCGCATCTATCAGGCGATTGTTCGGACTATCCTTCTCTATGGCTGCGAAACGTGGCCACTTAGAGCGGTTGACCTACGAAGGCTTGAAGTGTTCGACAACGATTGCTTTCGCTGCATTCAACGATGCCGCCGAATCGATCGTGTGCCCACAACCACTCTACGTCGTCGCCTGAATCTCCGTCCTCTTCCACCCGTCCTGCTCCAGCGTCGTCTCCGATGGTTCGGGCACAGAGCTCGCCGCCCGCAGGGAGAGCTCATCCGCGATGAACTTCTCCCTCCTTCTCTTCCTGGTTGGCGAAAACGTGTCGGTGGGCAGCTGAGGACGTGGGCTAGCACAATCAAGTATGACCTAGCAGTACTATCGGGTCCACAAGTAGTTGGTTTTCGACGATGGAATCACGATTGGCTCGCCATTTCGTGTGACCTGGCTCAGGATCGGCGAGCGTGGGCAGCGATGGTCCGTGATGCTGTACTTGCTCGGGAGGAAGCCGATTCAACCCGACCAGGGTGAAAACCGATCCAAGTCAAGTAATACCCTTCAAGTCTCTTTTTCATCTGTGTGGAGAGTGTCCAGCATTCAATATAGAAAATTAGATATTGCATAGCAGTACAGCATTGTTTTTTGTTTTGTTTTTTTTGTTTTGTTTTGTTTTTTTTGTTTTTTTTTGTTTCTAATGACATTTTCCTATCTCTTACTTTACTTATTTTCTGAAAGACATCTTTTACTACGAAACTTCGGATTTTTTTTATCATATTTTCCGTTTTCTGTTACTACACTACCATAAATTCCTGTACCTGCTAGATTTCGATGTCCCCCAGTTAAATAGCTCACTTTTTGGGTAGTGTTTTTTGCTAACAACCATGCATTGTCTTCTTATAGTTAATAGCTAGTTCTTTCTTCTTGCTTTCCTTTACTATTTTATCTAAGAGTTCCTTCACTTTGCTTTCTGAGTCTGCCACCGACAGAGTGTCATCCGCCTATCTATGTCAGCCGATAATCTGGGTAAACTACTGTATCATAAAATTCAATAACTTTCAATTATTTAAAATTGGTTATTTGCGTGTGAATAAACTCGAATTTTGCTGAATTTTGAAATAAGAAAATAAGAAGAAACTAAATGTGTAAATACTAAAATGGAAAAAAAAAGAGACGTCATGATAAAAAGAACATATGCCAGTACGGGAAGAGTGTAGTTTGAATATTGATTTGGTTTTGTTTTATACTTTGTTTTTAAACTTTGTTTCGTTTTAACGTTTGATAAGCTTAGGTACAAGGTCTTTCTAAATCATGACCTGATACCGTAAATACCAAAATCAAAGTTTTCAAGGCTGTATGTCTGTCCGTCCTCTTATATATCTTAAAATCCGGAGAGTAGGATATCTAACTTCATAAAAAAATCACAGATTTTACAAAAAAAAAAAATAAATAAATAAATAAAAAATGAAAACACCCCAAATTTGTTAACACTAAAATATAATTCTTCGAATTTGTTGCAGTTATTCACAACG